AAACATTTTAGACCAATGTTCGACAGATAATCTGGTACAAGACAGACAAAAGGAACTCACCAGTTGAAACAGTCGTATTTGTCAAACCTGAAAGTTACACACGGATATATAAATGTGAATGATGCATACTGAATAGTGACGAGATAATTTGAAGAGAAGTTGATGATGTCTGGAAGAATCACTTAAGGTTGAGTTTCTTGTTGTGGCTGTGCAAGAGTAGCACATCAACTCAACCGACACTGATTTGTAAATACGCATTTCGTGGCTCGTTATCGTGAAAATTCTGTCGATTGTGACTGTGAGATTTTCATCGCTCACTGTTTAACAGATAACCATGTTCACTTTGAATATACGAAGGCAACAAATTGAAGCCAATGTAAACAAGTGGAGACGAGAATAATTTCAGAGTGCGATTCGATGAACGGAGAACGAATGTTGACGTTCGATAGTTATCGCTGAAGGAATCGTTAGTTCTGAACACTGGAATGCAAGTGCCACTATGAACGTTGATCGAGGCAGTCTGCACGACTATTAAAGCGAACATGAATTGACTTACCTTCTCCATCAGTTTTCTCATTCACTTCTGAAATATTTGTAGTGAGTGGACAATGTGGACGATGTAGTTGGTGATAAAATTTCCATTTGAAATGCAGAATTAATTTGCAATTCTTAAGAGTGAGTGATCATCTTCACAATGGTTTCATCAAACGAATGTGATTCGTTTGAATTGTAAGGTGTGGACACGTGAACTGAAACTATCATCTATTATGCTATATGACTGCTACATTAGTTGTGAATATTGCAGTAGTCGGGAGTGGATGTGTGTAGTTCGTGGACCTGAACGATCCTCGTGCTTTCAGCAAATCAACCATACTCGTATGGACCACATCACAAGTGGTTTCTTGGATCATCTCAAGGCGTTTGCAATCCATCCAGATGTGTACACTATTTAAACGTTGACACGTTCACAGCGTCAATTTTTTTTGAGACTTCATGTGATGTGCATTAATTTTACACTCTGAATGTGCGCACCTTCGAAGTTTGATTTTCTCTGTTCTATTGATTACTTTTTTAAATTCTGACACTTAATTTTCCATCTGGTTTATCTTGTGCTTATTTCACCAACTATGATTATCCTGACTGAAGGTGCTAGCTTGACGCTTTCGTCCGGCTTGCCTATCGTGATGACCCAACCGAGCTGTATTGGCTGGAACATATGTTCCTGTATGTTCTACCATGCGAGGCAGGTCGATTGGTGAACGGTAAGTCTAAAAGCAGCAACACAAGGTCTGAGGGCGAAGTCGTACTGCTGACTGTAGAGAGGTGTGACAGCAGTAAGGTGTTTCCCTCGGACAACCAGCATGACAGCGATACTGCCTTCCCGCAAGTAGGGGTGGGGTTAGAAAAGATCGATCCTGAGTATGTCCCACCTCACCTTACCTCACAGAGTTTTGTCTCCGGCGGTAAGGCTCTTTGAAGAACGGAGCTAACGCGTCAAAAACCTTCCACAAAAGGTCGAGCGCGACCGGCCTCAAACAGTTGTCCCTTGGGCTCTGCGGTCACGCTCCCAGGTCGTCAAGACCAACGCTAACGCAACTTCCTTTTCGGTTTCCTCAAGAAATACCCTTCCACGGTGTGGGCAGCCGGGAAGTGACACGAGCCCTCATACTCGTAACAGCACACGAGACCAAGTTGGCCATATTCAAATCCTCCCTACACCTCTTAATATCACTCTTGTCTCCCCGACTAACCCTTCTCACGTCCTTTTTACACCTCGCTTCGCTAGAGCAAACGGTCCGAGTACGCGAAACGTTATTCCTGGTCACCTGAAACCATTCTCGAAACTACATGTATTAGCATTTAACGTCCGAACAGTGTGCCAAATAAGACAATAGGCTTCCTTAGCTAGGACGTTAGAACCTCGCGTCATCCATGTGTGCTGCGTCTCCGAAACGCGCATACAGGATCCGCGTAGCGTCATTCATTTGAACCCACCATATCAAAATAAAAAACCATCACGATTCACGCTTCGTGCCTCTGGAAACCCTGATTCTGCTTACCGTGGCCTCGCTGGTGTATGTATAGCTTTGAGTCCTAGGACAGACCTAGCTCGCCTAGACTGGATCCCAGTAGACAGTCGTTTGTGCGCTTTCCGACCAAATAGAACAGTAAGGACTCGGAAAGATAGGGATACTCGTCGTTGTCTCTTCGTCGTCTCTGCCTAGTCTCCCATATATTGCAGCTCAGGTGATGGAAAAGATGAATTTTACAGAAAGCTTTCCGACCTTTTCCGAAGAGTTAGGCGCTCTGATGTGGTAATAGTAGATAGTGACTTTAATGCCCAAGTAGGTAGACTAAGCGAAAGGGAAAGACACCTGGGTGGATCTTATGGTGTCGTGGCTCAAAGAATAGATAATGGAGACCGTCTGTTGCAGCTGTGCTCAGATAACCGCCTGTTCCTTGCAAATACTAACTTTAAGCGCAAGGAAGAACATCTTTTAACATGGCAACCCCCTAATTCGTCCCAACGTTGGACCCAAATAGATCACATCGCTATCAGCCACCGATGGAGGGGCTCGATGGAAGACTGTTGCTCATTCTGGAGCACATGCTTAGATTCAGATCATGCTCTAGTACGAGCGCGTATTTGCTTGCGTCTTACTGGACGTAGGAAACCTCTTAGGGGCCTACTTAATGATAGTCAAGCTAAGTATATATTTCAGGAACAACTAGGAAAACAGTTAGGCAGCCATGTATGTGATGCCCACCCCGAGGCAGCATGGAATGATATCGGAAAAGCTGTGGAAACAGCAGTGATATCTACTAGTAAGGTAAACCAGAAGGTTAGGGAGCAACACTGGATCTCAGCAGCATCTGTCGCACTGATAGATGCTTGGAAACTCATTCCACCTGGCTTTGAACATAATGAAGAGCGTAGTCAGCTTAAGCACAAGCTGCAAAGAAGCCTACGCAATGATCGCGAACAGTGGTGGGTAGCGAAAGCAAGAGAGAAGGAAAAGGCAGTGGCAATAGGTAATAGCAGACAATTGTTCAGACTCGTTAAGGAAACCGGAATTAGGAACCAACCGTTAGCCAAACAATCTCAGAGAAAGATGGACATATTATTCATTCTCAATCCCGGAGATTGGATCGATGGGCAGAACACTTTACGGATCAGTTCAACTGGCCTTCAGCCACACTTCGGTTTCCTACGATCTCCAGTCAACCTGAATGGCAAGTTACTGTAGGTCCTCCGTCTCTTTACGAAGTTGAAAAAGCCATAGGAAATCTGAAGGGAGAGAGGGCAGCAGGCCCTGATAGGTCCATACCTGAGATTCTTAAGGACGGTGGTTCAGTATTAGCAGTGAGATTAACTGAGGTCTTAGGTAGAATTTGAGAACTGGACGTAATCCCATCTGACTGGTCTCAATCATTGATTGTGCCAGTCTATAAGAAAGGACAAAAGTCCTCTAGTGACAATCACAGAGGAATCAGTTTGACTAAAATAGTGTCTCGATAAGATATTCACACTACGTCAGGTTCTAGAATACAGGCACACATTCAGGCGCTCCACAATGGTAATATTTCTCGACCTTAAGGTGGCATTCGACTCTGTTGAGGTTCTGTGGCAGTGTTTGTCATTGAAAGGAATACCAAAGAAGTACATTAACCTTATAAAGGCTCTCTACTCGAACACAACTGGTAGAGTGAGAGCTTATGGCGAACTGTCATCAGAATTGATTACCTCAAGTGGTGTTCGTCAGGGCTGTCCAATCTCCCCATTCTTGTTCAACTTTGTGGTCGACTTACTTTTAGAGATAACACTCTCCTCATCTAAATTTCCAGAGGTTGAACTTCTACCGGGAGGTTCACTTGTTGACTTAGATTATGCAGATGACGTAGTTTTATTTGGTGAAGACGCTGACAAAATGCAGAGTCTTCTGACCACTCTAAGTAACAATGCAAGCATGTTCGGGATGCGATTCTCTCCCTCGAAATGCAAAATGTTGCTTCAGGATTGGGTTACATCGACACCCAAACTAGTGATAGGGAGTGAAGTAGTTGATCGTGTCGACCGCTTTATATACCTCGGAAGTCTCATCAGCCCTTGTGGTCTGGTGTGTGATGACGTCTCAGCACAGATACAGAAGGTCCGACTAGCTTTTGCCAACTTGCGTCACCTATGACGTAGGTGAGATATCCGTCTACTGACCAAAAAACGGGTTTACTGTGCAGCGGTTCGTTTTGTCCTACTTTATGTCAGTGAGACGTGGCCAGTAAGAGTAGAGGATATTCGTAGGTCACTACTATTTTGTCATAGGAGTCTTCGAAACATTGCTCGTATATCCTGGGACCATCGAGTAAGTCATGCAGTTGTTAGGAAACAGGTACTGGGTAAGGATGGCAAATCAATTGATGACGTAGTGAAATTTTATCAGTTGAGATGGCTGGGACATGTGTTACGTATGCCCAACCACTGACTGCCTCGACGTGCTATGTTCAGTGGTATAGGAGTAGGTTGGAAGAAATTTAGGGGCGGCCAAACCAAAACATGGCACAAGTCCATGAAGTCACTGACAAGTGGACTGAGTCATGTTGGTAGGTGTAGACTACCTGGTTGGGGACCGCGAGATGAAAGCAACCGATGGTTAGAGACCCTGAATGACATGGCTCAAAATCGTTTGCAGTGGCGCAGGTGCATCCACTCTTTGTGTTCTCCCAAATTCTAATCTTCCGAATTCTTTATGTCCCTTTTTTCCTCTTTCCAAATTTATTTCACTGGATCATACTCTTTAACTAACATCTCCAAACACTAATCTTCCCGATTACTGCTTATTCTCCAATTACCTCTACCACTACGGGATTTGAATCGACCACTGCATCTCTATGCTAATGTGATGTGGTTACTCGAACTGATGTACGTACGTACGAAGTTCTACGTTGTTACTGACTGACTGACTGACTGACTGACAACTATGATTATCTCTCGCTCATTATTTATGGATCTTTGTCATAGGCAAATTTTTTTGAGTTTCATATTTTCTGAGTATGTTTATGGAAAACCAATGAATGATAACTATGAAAACAAAATGAATAAAATCCATGTGCAATTAAATTTACCGGAGAAATGTTTATTTCCACGTCTATCCAAAGCACCTGAAACAGCAAATGAAAAGAAAAATGGAGATTTAAAATTTGTCGATATGCGTAGAACAGTTCAGATTCGTGTTTGTAATTAATCATCTGGGAACTATAATTGCTTATAGTATATTTGTATAGAACAGTTAGGATATAAGTTTGAAGTATCCTGCGTAACGGGTATCATTACTTTCGAATCAACCAAAATAGTACCCGTTGAATGAGATATTCACATATGACTAAATACGTAATGATTAAAAATACAAATGTTTGTATAACATACTGATAGCATGCTTCATATAATACAATCTGGCATCTGTAAACAGGAAAACAAAATTAAGAATGCGTTTGAGGATCTACCTTCACTTGTTTCGTGGAATATATCAGATATTGTAAGTCAAATCTACTGACTAAATGAAAGTGTCAACTGAAACAATAACGTATCGTGTATTATAAAAATGTATTTTCGGTGTGCTTAAACTGCTACTTGTAAACCATTTGTCCTGATGACAGTGAAGCAAAGGTTAACTTCAAAAGAGTTTGTGATATTGTGTTTGGTTAGGTTATTGTCATGACGTGCGGATATTTTACTAGTCATATTCTGCAGTGCACATTTCTATTGATGTTCATCACATCTACGACGCTCGATTCGTTGAAGTTGAGCAGTTTAAAGTATTCAGTTGTGCATATGATCTTTGTTAGTTCAAAGAGGTTTCAATTCCAAATATAATGACCAATCTTAAACGGAAAGCGAATCTTTCTACTTGATTTGCTACTTCTGAGAATAAATGTAAGCTATAGGTGTTGGGTGGGAACGATCAGTCGACCTCTATTACAAATAATAGTATTCCACACTGTGCTGAGTTTGTGAGTAAGATGAAGTTTAAAGATGAGGAATATCAATGTTATTTACATGAATACATTATTTAGTGAACATGACAATGAGAATGATTGGTCGAACACTGAAGTCGAATGTAGTTGTTGATTGGTCATCAAATGAAAGAAATAAAATGTCACCGGGTTGTATGATTTTGTGTGATAGGATAATGTATAAAGCGAACTACGTCTCCTTAGTGTTTGAACGTATAGACATAATGCACTTCAATAGGATAGCTTATGATCAGCATCCATTCGAATGCTAATTGAGAACTGTTGTGTAATATTATCAAACAGGTATGAGATTTAAAACAATTTATTCACTGGGTTATTCTCATGTTACACAGTGTCTAGTAATAAGGTGAATAGTTTACAACTATGAATCATCTACAAAATAAACATGGAATAATAATAGTGTCAAATATTGCTAACATATACCTAGAGCATCTTTCCTTCGTTTTTCAGATTTAATAGCTAAATGGAACAAAGTATAATAGATTGTGTTATTATAAACAGTGACCATGAATCATTTTACAATAATGTTTAACGTTCCAAAAGAGTGTTTACTTTCAAGACGTTTAACAGTTGATCGAATGGAGTTGTGGTTATTTTCACTCAACATTTACCACCACTTGTCAGAGATAGTTTATACTAGAATAATTTGAATAAATAAACTGATAAAATACAGTTTGGCTCATGATTCCTACTTATTGAGATAAACATTATCCTGTTTAAAAGATAAATCGCAAAAGGCACTTTTCGCAAAGCACAATGCGTATCTTGTACATGTTTTTCAACAAGTGTTCCTTTTTAATTTTCATGAAGTTAGTTTAACAAACAGAATGACCGTGCTTTCAATCTGTCAACCGTTGGAATTCGAATGGAACTACCTTGGAGACAATATAGTATTTTCGTTCAGAAACGTTTAAGAAAACATTAACTGCAACTAACACTTACCTTCGGCCGTTTCATTGATGACTATGTAAGATTCTATAAAAGTATTCAAATGACAAACAGTACTTTACATGGCATAATTCCTGAACTACATATATTGTGTTAAGCTCTGGTTATGAATAGCAGTAGTTATATTCACTAAATGTGTCAAAATAACTATTTACTATACAGCACATAAGTAGTTGTGCAATTGTATGTACAAATAAGAAGGCTCTAAATATGAGACATTCGACATTTTCTCTGTTTCGACACCACGTATACTTCATTATTCAAGACCTATATTTCACTAACTAACTAGATATTGCTGACATTAAACACCAATTTTGATTATGTATTCATCAGAACCCAACTTGATGTTTGTCGTATGTATTATTGGTTTAGAATGTATATCACGTGCTTGAACGGATCGAACATTAACGCAGATTAATCGCTTAATTTGTGAATCTTGGCTTATCTCTGGAAAATGTGTCATATACAAAGTTCTACCTTGCGATACTCATTTTCCCTAAAATGTTAAAAAGGGTATTGAGAAATACCTCGAATTGGACTCATTTCTTGGGAACTTGTAATTTTTTAACATGCTATACTCGTTTATTTTGTTTGTAATTATTATTAGCAGAAGCGACGACGTCTTTGCTCATTCACTACGACATAATCAATTGAATCACTACGTGGGGAGACCTGAAATTTATGGGTTCGATCATCATTTGGGCTGTTGCTTCGCACAGTTGAGGACTGTCAAGCTATAAAATGACTCACGGTTTTCAGCAGTTTGTTTGCACGAATCAATCAATAATATGGAATTTAATTATAGTTAACTTGCATAGTGTATATGTATAGATTAGCATAAGTAATATAAGTCATCATTTACGTGGTATTTGTATATCAGTTCTTTTTAACGCACCACCTTAATCATAAAAACAAGAAATTATGTTATTATGTATAGAATGTTCTTGTCATCCATAGAATGTTCTAACAATATGTACATATTTTATGTGCATATGAAAAAAATATTTCTTTCATAACTACCCGTTTTCATTGCATTAGAACATCAATAAACGTCCCACGAATATTTTGCATAAGAAAATCAGTCAATGAAATATTTGATCATATTATCTATAAAAGTCTGCATGAAGTCTAAATCAGAAATTAAATTTCGAATTGGGATTTATTAAATGCTTAATTTACAAGTTGAAATTTTCATTCCAGCATTATGCTTTTCACGAATGACACATCGGTCAGTTATAGAAGATCAAAGTGATGGCATAGATGTGATTTAGCATGATTTGTCAAATTACATCATCACAGTTAAATAAATTTACTCAAAGGGATAACAAACAAATAGCAACAATGAAGGAAAGCTAGTGAGAAATGTAAAGTCCTTATTGTGAGAAAGATCTTGAAAGTCACCATTCACTGAAATTCATGATCCGGAACAAAGTGTTCGAAACTGACGCCCAGTCTTTCTTAACGGAGATAATAGAGATTTAGAAGGTTAGTTAAAAACGTTTTTATATGCCTGCTTTTAAATATCAATATATCAGTCCAATAATATTACTTTTGCGTTTTATAGCGATTAAAACGGATTTTCAGATTGTATGTAGGCAGTTGGTATATTATTGAAGATGAATGTGTTTTAATGAACTATTCGTGAAAAGCATATACAAGCAAGATAGTATGAACTTTTCACTCATTCCCAAGCATTTAACTTGATCGGGTATTTTCAAGATGTAATTGGATTTACATGGAAACATAAGAAACACAGAAATCACTGTAATATCGTCATTGGAATAAATTCTATCAGTGTGTAACCTTTATTTTACATAAAATAGAACAATAATAACGGTAAAAGCAAGGGAAAAATAATTCTTGGAAAAATATTAATGAAGTGACAAATTCGTTTTGAAAAATAAGCTAACTAACCAACCAATTGAAGGATAAATGTTCTTCGATTCACCGTGAAATGAAAAATTTTAAATGAAAAACGATGATATAAAATAGCACACAACAACAAGAACAACTAACAGAAAAAAGGAAGGCGAAAGAAGGCACGAATAAAAGAAAATGGTCATCAAAAGCATGTCAAAGAAACTAAAATATTGAAGACATATTCAATAACGTTTCATTTTACAGCTATGGAATATAAAATAGATTCACTTTAAGCTTGAAACGTTTTCATTTCTGTTGAAATAAATTAAGGCAATCAGAGAGAGTTGGCATTTGAGATGGTGGAGAAGATTTATGGCTCAGGTAGATGATTTTAATGGAGTTTTGTTCTCTGAACTGGATAGTTTCGTTGCAGAGCTTTCCTGGTTCTTCTGAATGACATCATCAGCACAAACTTCAGATAGAAGTCAAATGTTCGAATTTCGAATAACGGACGAATGCGAACACTCATTCGATTGGAAAAATGTGGAAATCTTGGGCAGAAAAAATTTCAAAACCACTAGAGAATTTTTAGAAGCCTGGCACTCAGGTCAATCAGTAATCAACAAGCATATTGAAATCAATCCAATTTATCAACCTATCAGGAAAGTCATGCACAAATATAGGAACAAAAATCAAACCGATGGGAGACACAACCAAAACAAAGAAGTAAACAATGACAAATTTAAGGTCGATGAGAACCAATCAACATCGAGGTGTACAGAACAAGCTGTGAAACGCATGTGGAGAAATTCGAACACTTCACTTCTATCTGAAGTTTGTGCTGATGATGTCGTTCAGAACAACGATGAAAGCTCCACGACCAAACCATGCAGTTCAGAGAATGAAACTCCATCAGAATTCGCATTTATTCATTACAGAATTTCAGTGTATTTTGGTCAACCATATACGGGTAAAATGTGGCTGGACACTCTATTTTAGGTCGCCACATATATTGATGACTGATCGATCATCATCTGCAACCCTAATCACATAGGCAATCTTCAATGAAAAGAATATGACAAAACTCAAAAAACCCGCACACTAATATTTTGTGCTATTCACTTGAAACACGAGTGCGATTATTACGGAGGACGTGGGTATCAAAGAACGGAATGTTACAAAATGAAACTATCACATAGTTCAAAGGTTTACCTCACACATCTCACAGAAACAAGTGGTCATCAGGACAGTCTAGCTGTTGGCCGGTCAGTTAGGCTGAGTTGAATGCCACGATGTATAGCAGGCGTTTCGATACCGAACATCTCTATTGTTTTCGTCACGTGTAGATGTTCGGGAATCATATCGGATTATCAGCTAAACATTGAATGGGGATGAACACTAA